CCCACCGTAATGTCACCTGTCCCTGCCTTCCCTTTAATTCTGAGCCATAAGCTCTTGGTCAGCTCCTCATCCATCCCCAGGCAAAGCTCCATGCCCTCCAGCTGGTTATTGACATAGAGGGCGACACCCCCTCCTCATCTCCCCTTCCTGTCCTTCCTAGAGAGCCTGTATCCCTCTATCCCAACACTCCAGTCATAGGAGCCATCCCACCACGATCTGAGCCATCCCACCAACCTAAGCTTTCAACAACAGTTGGAAAAAGGCTCTAAATACTTTTAGATGCAGAGAGAAGTTTGCACATGTGAACAAAATGTGACAAATGTGAGCCTGAAATAAAGGCGGAATTTTAACACCCTGTGGCTCATTAATTTAAATTTTCAGTGCAGTGTTTCTCCTGAAGCCCACTGATGGTACATTATTGAATATTAACTGTGATGTCTGTAAGAGATGAAATTAAGGCATGCAAGTGGGAAGATGTGTGTTGAAATACGCAATTGAGGTTGAGAGCGGACAGGACACTCTAAAAGAAGAGTGAAGAAGAGCAGAAACAGTACCGTTTTAAGGGATGTGCTGCAGAAGTGATGCCAGAAAGCAATTCTGAATCAAAAAATATCAATACATGAAATTGTATATTTTCCTCCACATTATCCTAAATTCTTCTGGGTGGTCCACTGCGGGATTCTGCAATCTGAAATGTTTATAATCCACAGGCTAAGTTTTAATGTAGAATTGGGTCATTTCCTCCTATAATAGCATCATTATTTTCTAATATAACTATGCTGTTGCAAAGCTCAGTGATATGTGATGTGCAGCAGGATTTCCATGCTTGATGTGAGCAAAATCAAGTTATAGGAAAATAGCGTAGGAATTTGGTATTACTGGAGCAGTGTTTGGATGGAAGCATCTTACTGCTTTTCCTTCTCTTAATGATAGAGGAGAGTAAGGAAAAGATCACAGATATACTGACATGGAGCTAAAGAGCAGCATTCTTTTAAATTGATTTGACCAAGATTTTCCAGTCTGAAGGTGAGCTACTCAGAAACCGGTTCCTGTAATGTTAGAAATGGTGAGAAGTGAGGACACATGGAGAGGGATTTCATGCTTGAAGAGGGCTGCTAAATTCAAACAGTAAGACATTTTGTCACTTTCTGTAGGAGATTCTTCTGCCAAGAATTCAAATGCATCAGGCTTATGCTGGTCGCATAAAGTATAGGAGCCTCAAAATGAAATAATTGATGCTATTGTTTTAAAGGAGTTTACAGGTTTACAGTTGGAATTTTATTTTCTAAGAGGATGATTTTATTGCCAAGAATACAGAAGGAATATTGTTAATCTTGCTAGTTTATTTTGTCCCATTATTTTTGATGCATTCATAGTCACAGCTGACTATGCTTTCCATATTTACTTAAAATAGGCTTTCATTTAGCTGTAATCCTTAAAAACAGGTAATACAGGTATCTTCATGGAATTGTTTTGGTTTTTAGAACTGTTATTTCTGTTACTTTCTGCTGCTGGTCCTGTTTTTCAGTGCTGTGATAGTCTGTTAATCTCACACCTTGTAGTGAATGGGTCTCATGTTTCAAATCAAGTTTATAGATGGGTGCTGATGCTTTTCTAAATCCTTAGGGGGTTTTTAACTTCACTGAAGTAGAAGAATATGTAGAATTAATTGTTATAGTACTGTTGACAAGTGGTGGCTAAGCCATCATAACTTTATTGGTTGCTATTGGTTGGCCATAGCATATCCCCAACTAAAAAAGGCATCCCTTCTGTGCTTTAACAAAAGTTAATTTTCCAGTATATTATTTCTTCTTTTCCCACAGTTTGTTGTTAAACATACAATTAAAAAAAAAATCATTGATTTTTCTATCCCTAGCAATATTCTGTTGGTCACATGAAATGCAGACCACACTGTTTACCTTTTCATTAACTTGAGTTTCGAAATATTTGAAGGAAAACATCCTGTGGCTGTTTTCATTTTCTGAATAGGTTTGTTTTCATTGATAAAAAGCAATCTGCTTTTAATTCACAGTGGAATGCTGAATATTAGTTTTGCACAGTGGACATGTAGTCAAGATATTTGTTTAATT